CTATTTCAAAGCTGCCTTTTCCTCTGAGGTTTGGCTACAAATTAATGAGCTCTTGAGATAATATCTCACTTGTTTTTCAAAAATACCCACATTCAAAATGTCACAAGAGTTCTTACCAAAGAATCTGAAACTGCCTGGGTACCGTGAAATATCCCTCTCTCATGAGAATACTTTTCCAAACTATGAGACAAAGGACAGCACCACCTCAAATTTCCTGAGCAACTTGATTTATATGAGCAAACTCTTGTACTTTATAATTAAGCACCTTTTCAAAATATAATATTGTGCTGGGATGGATTCTTAAGGAAAACTCCATTAGAGAATTCTCATTTTGGAACATTTTTAGGTTATCTTCCCACTATACCATCTCATTATTTACAATACTTTGTGAAATAAATATTGAGTTGCCTTTAAGAGGCAGGTGAAAAATATAGCTATTTCTGAGAAAGGGCATTTGGCGTTCAGTTTATAGCAAGGGCTTAAGTTAGAGCCTATGGTGATTTTGGAGATTAACTCAATCAGAATTTTTTTTTTTTAATTCTGACATCAAAAACTTACTAAATTTAACAGCTAGAAACTATTTTAGCAATTATGGTCTGAAATTCAGTGCAACAAAAGCATATCCCAAGTATATCATATGTAACAGTATATTCTCTCAACTGTCTTCTCTTCATTGGCCTTAATCCTTGCTCTTTTGTGAAGGAAATGTCACTCAAACCCTGTCTTTCAGTTCTTGCATTCTTTGTAGAGGAACCTCAGCAATAAATAATGGGGCACTGAGTTACACAATTAATTCTGTTCTTATCTGAAATGCTGAACCCAGTGTAGTGCTCCTTATGCTATAAAGAGTTACTCAAAAACATTTTCTAGTATGCTAAGAATACAGAAAAAAACATATTAAATCTATTAGGAACATATTTCCAGGTAGTTTTCACAAATATATACGGGAAAGAGAATGTTTTTAGGACCAGATAGTTCCACAAATTAACATGATTACTTAGATAATTCTGTTAGTTTGTGGTGTCAAATACAACCTTAAAAAAACACTCCAGTGTCTTCCCCACTACAGCATTAATTTTCCTGGTTAATTCTCTCTTAAAAGTAATAAAACAGACAGACTCTTCACATCAACAAATTTCCAAATTCAAGTAAATACCTCTTTTTTGTTTGATTTTCTCTTTTTGCTGTTAATGGTATGCATTTCAATACCCAAGAGTGTTGGTGAGATTCTTACATAATGACTGACTTCACTGTGTAACTGAACCTTTGAAAATAACTCCTACACAGTCACGATGGGAAAAGACAGTCAATTCTCAATTACTCAGGATGTGATTGTCTGAAGAATCGGGCCAGGAAATTCTCCCTTTCCTACCGGCTTTTTTGGTCATGTTGCTGCTCATCCATAGAGAGGCAACTTGAAATGAAATGATCTATCTAGGACCAGATAGTTCCACAAATTAACATGATTACTTAGATAATTCTGTTAGTTTGTGGTGTCAAATACAACCTTAAAAAAACACTCCAGTGTCTTCCCCACTACAGCATTAATTTTCCTGGTTAATTCTCTCTTAAAAGTAATAAAACAGACAGACTCTTCACATCAACAAATTTCCAAATTCAAGTAAATACCTCTTTTTTGTTTGATTTTCTCTTTTTGCTGTTAATGGTATGCATTTCAATACCCAAGAGTGTTGGTGAGATTCTTACATAATGACTGACTTCACTGTGTAACTGAACCTTTGAAAATAACTCCTACACAGTCACGATGGGAAAAGACAGTCAATTCTCAATTACTCAGGATGTGATTGTCTGAAGAATCGGGCCAGGAAATTCTCCCTTTCCTACCGGCTTTTTTGGTCATGTTGCTGCTCATCCATAGAGAGGCAACTTGAAATGAAATGATCTATCTACCAGTTTACAGGCCAACCACAGCTCGGTGGGAGGAGGTCCAAAGCTCCAGGTAACAAGGATGTTGGAGGATCACCTGTGAATTTTATAGCTCAATGGAGAGTTGACAGTTGTTCACATATACGAAGTACAATACATTGACCTTGGTTGGAACCAAACTAATTTAAGGCAATATTGCTCCTCACAGGCAATGCTGGCATAAAGTGCAGGTCTCAACAGAAAAGTGACTCTGTAGAAGTGAGATTTTCCCAGTTTATCCCTTCTCTTCTTGCCTTCCCTGGAATTAGGTTTCAGCATTCCAACAACACTTAAAAGGCAGGAGCGGCAACAGACTCAACACCTCCCTTTAATGATAAATGTTATCATCAAGGGTAAAAGATTCTTCCAGCAAAAATTTGGACGACTTGTACCCCATGCAGCATTACCAGGACAGTCTCCAGGCTGCTTCTCCCTGCCCATATTACCTGTTATGGGTTAAGAGGAAAAGGGATTGTAGCAGTAAGATAAGCAGTTATGGCTTTAGGACTCACAGGCACCGCCAGATGTGAGGAGAAAATGGGACCTAATTTTAGTAACACTTCTCTATGAACAGTAAGTAATGAATGAAGTACTTTAAAAGTCTGTTTTTTCCTTTTTGCTGAAAGAGCAGGTATTGATTTTTTATGATTGTTTCTGAAAAGCCAATGTTATCAGAATACGGCACACTACGTATAGTAAATCTACCTGATCGGTGTTCCCTGCCCACATAAACAAATATTCCCTATATAAACACTGTTTTCTCAAAAGCAACCTTTGAATTCTGTTCTCAGTCCTTTTAAATCTGAGTATACACGGTCTTGTTCCTTTCTTAGGCTGAAGATCTTACAGTCAATCGCCACAGCTGTCCTTCAAGAAAATCACTACTGAATAAATGCATAATCTTGGTATTCCCCCAAAGTGACTTTTATACAAAGGCGACACTCATTAGAAATCAAGGCCCTAAAATGTTAACCACTTATGTGGTAAACTGAATGCACCATATTATAGCAAGTGTTTCCAAAGAACGATTTGGCACAAAACAAAATTGAGAGAGTATTGACAGTATTAAAGAAAAATACTTATCAGTTAAAAGTTAATTATTTTTATACCCAAAAGTCCTGACATTGAGGGAATGGTAGGACAATGTCGACAATGAATTTATTCATCATCCAGTTCAGCTGCAGGCCACAGTAGAGAAGGGAAAAGTCGGTCCAGTTCATAGTTTCCTTTGTGGGTTCAGTGGAACACAAAGTCCAAGGTCACCCATTTTGGAATATTGGTCCAAGTGGCCACTGCCATTCTGAAAAGATTTTCCTCTTAGGAGCATCTATCCATATCTTTCTTTCCTAATTTAGATGTATCTCTATGATCAAAAGCCATATAGTCTTTCTTGAAGTTCATTAGTCTGTTGCTGGTTATAGTAAAGTCACTTGAGAAATAGTAATTCAGTGGTACACAAAGTCACTTTCTAAAAATCTCAATGTTCTTTTAAAGCATGTGTAGCAACTGTCCAGTCTTCCAATAAAATAATTATGTCTGACAATGGTTTGATACTACGGTCAAATTTTTTTCAACTCATAACATTTAATCTTACCCTCATCTCACCTTGCTTCCAGGCAACGACTTACAAAAGGTTAGGTTTGGGGGAGGGGATCTACATGTGCAGTCGCCTTCTAAGAGTCCTTAATATATTGTGCTCGTTCTGCAATACTGGTGTTAATGGAGCCGGGCCTTCGGAGAACAGAGGTATAGAAAGATTTTCCAAGGCCAAAAATATTAGTTTACATCACAACATTAAAGCATAATACATTGTGTACCTAAAAATTAAAATGTGTGTCTTCCAGCAGTCGGAACAGGAACAAAATAAATGCTTCCACATTTATATTAAAATGACAAAGTGAAAAGCAGAGAACACAGTGAAGAACATTTGGCAGTTCCTTAAAATATAGCTGTTAGCTGCTTCTGTAGTCACAAAGATAATTACATTATTTGAATGAAAATAAGAAAATGTAACTGGTTGAGTTGGATTTTTGTCTCATTCACAGGGAAAGAACTACTATGATACTCTTTAAAAAGTGTTTGCTATACAAAAAAATTAAATTAAATTAAATATTAAAAAATTCTAATCTGTTAAAAACCTAAAAAAAAAAATCAAATTTTCAATACAGATGTTGAATTGGGTATCACAAGGGAAATATCACCTTTGGTCACTCACCAAGACAGTTTAAACATTAACATCCTGGTTAAGTGTTAAGTGGTCTGATATTTTTGAATAAAAGATATCTGGTTAGCATTTTATAATAATAATAAATATAATTGGATGAAGTACATGAGAGGTAAGAGGAATGCAGAATTGTAAAAGTAAAACTAATCATTGCGTGATAGAAAAATAAACATTTATAAAATAAAAAATATGGCAAATGATGTTGCCCATTTGCCTAATTATCAAATAAAAATAGTTTTGTTTTGTTTTTTTTCTTTAAAGTTACCATAAAAACTTCTAAAAACATGAAGCAAAATCACAGGGCAGACAAAGAAAAATATAACATTACTATAAGTCAATAAAGCCCAAGCTTTGGATATTGAAACCACCCTCTGGAATTGGACTTAAGGCCAGGACCTCCAATTTGTTTGCCCTCGACTAAATGAAGATTTTTCTTCATTCACTTCATCACGGCCATTCGAAGTCCTGTTATCTTCCCTTTCCCCATTTTTCCAAAATGATTAACTACCTTAGAGTTCTGTTACTTTAACATTCCCCAAAATTTAACTCTTAGATATGTTTTACTCAAGTTCCTAAAATCCAAAAACTTTATGAAATTAAGTCTCTTTCTCAAAACGAAATACCAAAATCCACTCTCGGAAACTGCCCTAAATAGCTTCCTGACCAGTGCCTGACTTTAAAGACTATCTGGAAAGATAAGGCAAACAGAAGGCATTTCACAGTGGGAAAAGAACAAATTCATAACTTTTTCTCTAGTCACCTACATATTTCTTTCCTAAACAAACAACACAATAGCATACTAGAATGCCAAAAACATCAGATTCAAACGAAGAAAAATAGGAAGTCAAGCTGCAGGGATATTATTTTTTTATATAGCATGATTGCTTTTTGTGTTAACTAGTACAAGAAAATAAGCATTTCCATATGGTTAGAAACTCCACAAAGACTCTAGATTTCTTGAAGAGTCGTTTAAAGTTCTTGTATAAAGGATCCAATGACCATGTATCATTAATGAAAGTGTAGAACCAAATAGTGGGATAAAGAACCACTTTATCAACTTCACGTTGAATGGATCTAATTATTGACAAATAGACTAAATATTTTTGAGAGGTTGCGAATAAATACTGCTATGTTTTAAGCAAGAGGAAAACTTCAATCTATGACCAGAGAGAATGACTGTATCATCACTTATGTAAATATCTTCCCAATTCCATTCGCCTTGACTATAAGTAAATGTAAAAAAGGAATAGAAAGTTTTTCATTTTTAGTTGACTTTGCACAGACCTGAGTTTAAATACCACAGAATTAAATTTTTGCCAATAAATACTAACAAATGGGCGATGCCCCAGTGGCTTCAGAAAGCCTTGCTATTGAAGAAGCAAAAGCAAAGAAAGTGTTAGAGAATGATTGTGATTTTTTTTTTTCTTTCCTAAAGACTACAAAAAGCAAAAGGGCCCTGTCTTTCAATATATCATACACTAATGGACCAAAAAAGTTATTACTTATATTCTTTTATTCTGCATTGTGTCCAAACATTGTTTTACCTTGATCATTATCTTCATGAAATTCTAATTGCTAAATAAAGCCTAGTTCCTAGCTACTAATATGCCATACCTAACAAAAATGGCATTTCATAGGTCTCTTACATACTATATCCCAGGAAGCATATGCAGCATAGAGGTGGTCAATATTCAGAAGCCAGATTTTCTTGTACTGCCCAAGTGATCAGGAATAACCAAAACATTTTAAATGAATTAAAATTATTTATGGTCAGAAAAACACTTGAAGATAAATCCCAAGAATACAAACATAGCAAGAAAAAATAAGTGTGGAATGCCTTCTGTATCATCCAGTAACATTTGCTACAGAGAGTCCGTTTTCAAGGCAGATTCCTAGGTTTTTACTGCTTATAATGGAAACCTGGGGAGGGGGAGGAAAAAGAAGAAACACAATTAAAAAAAATTCTTTGAAACTCAGCAATCTACAGATTCAATGTAATCCCTATCAAAACACCAATGGCATTTTTCATAGAACTAGATCAAATAATCCTAAAATTTATATGGAACCACAGAGAAGATCCCGAATAGCCAAAGAAATCTTGAGAAAGAACAGAGTTCTACCTGACAACCAACTATACCACAAGGATATATAGTAATCAAAACAGCATGGTACAGGCATAAAAACAGATGCACAGATCAATGGAACAGAATGAAGAGCCTAGAAATAAACCTATGCCTATATGGTCAGTTAATCCATGAAAAAGGAGGCAAGAAATACAACGGGGCAAATTCTCTTCAATAAATAGTGTTGGAAAAACTAGACAAATACTTGCAAAAAAAAAAAAGAAATTAGAGTATTTTATTATACCACATACAAGAATATATTCAAAATGGATTAAAGACAAATGTAAGACCCCCAAAACCATAAAACTCCTTGAAAAAGTCATAGGCGATAAACTCTGACACAGTTCTTAGAAATATTTTTTTGGATCTATACCTTCGGGCAAGGGAAAAAAAAGAAAAAATAAACAAATGGAACTAAGTCAAAGTAAGAAGTTTATGCATAGCAAAGGAAACCATCAACGTAAAAGAAAAGACAGCCTACTCCAGCGGTCTCCAACCTTTTTGACACCAAAGACCGGTGCTCCTATGAGAATCTAATGCCTTATGGTCTAAGGTGGAACTGAGGCGGTGATGCCAGAGCTGGGGGAGCAGCTGCAAATAGAAATGAAGCTTTGCTTGCTTGCCCACTGTTCACCTCCTGCTGTGCAGCCTGGTTCCTAACAAGCCACGGACTGCTACCAGTCAATGTTCCGGGGGGTTGGGGACTCCCGACCTACTGAGAGAAGATATTCGACAATGATATATCCCAAAAAATAAGGAACTCATAACTTAAGACTAAAAAAACAAGTAATTCGAGTAAAAAATGGGCAGAGGACTTGAAAAGACATTTGTCCAAAGAGGACATACAGAGAGCCAACATGTATGAAAAGATGCTCAATATCACTAATCAACAGGGAAATGCAAATGAAAACCACAATGAGACAGGACCTCATACCTGTCAGAATGACTATCATCAAAAAAATCAACAAACAACAAGTATTGGTGATGATGTGGAGAAAAGGGAACCCTCATGCACTGCTGATGGGATTGCAAATTGGTGCAGCCATTATGGAAAACAATATGGAGGTTCCTCAAAAAATAAAAATAGAACCACCATATAACCCAGCAATTTCATTTCTGGGTATTTATCCAAAGAAACACAACACACCAATTTGAAAAGATATATGCACCCCTATGTTCACTGCAGCATTATTTACAATAGCAAAGATAAGGAAGCAACCTAAATGTCCATTGACAGATGAATGAATAAAAAAGAGATAGTACATATATACAAAGGAATATTAGTCAGCCATAAAAAAGAATGAATTCTTGCCATTTGTGACAATATGGATGAATTTACAGAGTATTATGCAAAGTGAAATAAGTAAGAGAAAGACAAATACCACACGATGCCACTCATATGTGGAATCGTAAAAACAAAATAAATGAACAAATAAAACAGAAACAAACTCATAGATACAGAGAACGAAGTGATGGTTGCCAGGTGGGAGGAGGGTTGAGGAGATGAGGGACAAAAAGGAAGGAATTAAGTAGTACAAATTAGCAGTTATAAAAACAGTCACAGGGATTTAAATATAGCATAGAGACTATAATCAATAATACAATAAGGTTTGGGTTAGGGTTTAGGGTCAGGGTTAAAGTTAAGGAAAAAAAATAATACTATAATAACTGTATGGTGTCAGATGGGTACCAGACTTATTGGGGTGATCACTTCATTAGTTATATGCCTGAAACTAATATAATATTGTATATCAACAATTGAAAAAAATTTTTTAATTCTTAAAACTATTTATCTTCCTGCTCAAGCAAAATAATTTATCTTTATTTTTATGCATTTCAAGTGGTTCATGTTTTCTTTGTTCTTGATTATAATATACTTATATATAGAATCAATGTATTATTTTAATATTATGTATCAAATATATGTCAAAAACAGAAAGATACCCCCTAAAAAGTAATGCAAGCACAGAGTTTGAAAAAAAAAAAATCATGAGCTACTTCCAGTTAAACCATGCATGGTGAAAAGGCCAGCAAAGGATGGAAATTGCAGTTTATGGGTTGTTTTGATAAAGTCCAACTAATCCCAAATTTTAAATGTCTTCTGTCTTATTCCCAACATTGGATGAATGAAGTAATGGAATAGGAAAGTGGAAGGAGAGCTTTTTAAAAAATACAAATGCCTAGAACCACCCTCCCCTCGAAATTCTGATTTAATTAGTCTGGAGTGGCACCACTACATTGGTATTTTGTAATGACTGAAGAACAAGAAAAAAGCTTGGGAATGCTATCATTACATTAGAAAAGAATAATAAAAACATCACCTAAGAAATCTTCAAAAATCATAGCAAATTATAAATATCAGTAAGACCTAATATTTATAAAGTCTACTGCAATCTGCTTTCATATATTTTACTCATATAATCCAGATAATGCTATGACTATTAAAATCAGGTCCATTTTCTGATGAGGAAATTAATATAAGAAACTACTTTTTCATCATCTCATTTTATGAATGTCATAAAAAATATACATAAGTGAATGCATACGCTTTGAAGAGCAACAACAACACTCATTTTAAAGATTCGGTCCAACTTAAATCTCATATTCTTTCTTCATTTTCCTTGCTCCATTTTTCTTTTGCATAAGAGTTTTGTGTGTTGTGTGTATTTCTGTATGTATTTAAAGTCTAATGAATAGAGTCTTGGGCAGATGGAAAACAAGAGCTAGAATAGAAAAATCCCAGTAATTCTAAATGGTAGATACAGCCCCCCTTTAAGAATCTGATGAAACCAACGAACTCCCTCTTGAAGAAAATGAAAATACACAGAAAAATTTGGCATTCAATTTAAGGTGTTTTGCTTTTGTTTTTGTTTTTTAATTTTTGTTTGTTTTTTTTTTAATAAATGAAGAATACTGTAATGTTCTGCTGAGAGGAAGGATAACTTGTTTTTCCATTCTAATGATCTATAAGACAGCATTTGATTTTTCCACCATAGCATGAGTATTTAAAAAGATCCTAAACTTCACCATATATATTTTTCTTACCTTTATAAGAGGACTCTGATTTTGGGAAATGACGTGTGGAATTATGCTGATTTGTAAGAGTGTAATCCAAATCCTCGGCATCTGTCATGGTAGGTGGTGGCGGCCTGAAAGGAAGTCTGAATTTAGAGATATTCTAAGTAGTGATGACTACAATTCCACTGTTTGTTGGATAACATGGTAGAAACATTTTTTTTTTTTTTTTAATTTTTATTGTTTACAAATGCAAAGTCAGAACATTTTAGAATTCTCATTTTACTTACTGGCCAGCTGCTGGACCTCAGACAAATTATTTTATCTTACTGTTCCTTTGTTTTGAAGCACATAATTCAGTGAAAACACATATTTTTGAAAACCTAATATGTGTAAGGCACTGTGTTTAGGGCTAGAGAAACAAAGATTGATGAGATGTAACCACTGTCATTAATGTGAAATTTACTCTGTTTTGGTAGGTTTATATAAAGAAAAAGAAGAAAGTATAAAAAAGAAAAAATTAATAAAGAAACTTAAGGAATGAAGGAGAAAAAAGGGGTGAGAGAGTGGCAGGGAAGGAGGGAGGATATCGAGGGAAGAGAAGAGGGGGAGAAAGGAAGGGACATTGGTCGACATAAAATTTACAGCAAAGGTCCTTAATCCACTAGGTGGCAAAGCAGAGCTTAGAGAAGGAAAGGGCAGTAATTTGCAACTTTTCATGTCAAAAGAAAATAGTGTTTTTACTACACTAAACTTATTATTTTAATCATGTGACATAGAGATTTTGCCAACATTTGGCTTTAATAAAGATCAAGGAAAAAACCTCTCACTTTTTGTTTCCCAAAGGTGTACTCAAATGATGCATTAAAGCCTGGAACTACAGAAGGTTAAGATCTGTCAATATATAACCATGTTGCAGGATGTTTTGTGTAATTATATATACAATGTGAAAGGCATAAGTATTATGAAGTCTGGAAAGTTACAGTTAGTTTGGTACAGTGGGCTCTGTCATATAAAAATAAAAGCAAGTGTTTTCACATTTCTCATCCTGTCCCCAAGCTGTCGGTAGGTTTCTCTCTTCCTGGGTATTCAGCCTCTGGAATAGGTCAGCATAGGATGTATAAAGTGAGGACTGTGCTATGGGTTCTACATAGAGTATTTCCATTAACCTTTGGGAAAGTCTGCATGGTAGCTATATCATACACATATTTTAGAGTTAAATTAGGTAAGATAAGGTAAATGATGTCCAATTTCACACATTTGTTAAGTAGCAGAGCCAGGGCTCAAACTCAAATGGACTTCAAAACCAGTACTCTTAACTACTATACTATACTCTGTTACAAAAGCATGTATTTTTATCAGCAGCAACATCTTCATTCTAGACTATATATGAGAAAAATGAAAATAAAATACCAAGCAGTATTACCAGTATAACATCCTACAGTTAAAAGAATTTAAAACTTGCTTTAAAACATTCCAATTACAAAGAGGTAGAATTAATTCAGACTTCCAGTGGTTCTCTATTTCCTTAGAGAGTAGAAAGCTTTTAATAGACAAAGAAATTGATTTTTTGCCCATGAATGCTACAAGCTTCAGCTGAGAATTTGCTTTCACTCTTCTACCATTATTACTACCACTGAAGTAAACATCTTGACCTAGCAAGATCCAAGTTTTTCAATCCTTGAAACCATTTCTTTCAGTACAAATGGCTAACTAAACTCTTCTATTGTGATTAAATGTGAAAGAGGAAAATACATTCTGTACAAGATATCTATAAGATAAAAGGCTTTAATTTTTAATTATGAACATATGTTTCGTAAAATTCTTCATTTTTGTTAGGTCATATACAATCTTTCTGTAAATGATATTTAAGACAAATGTTACTCTCAGATCAAAAGAGACTTCAATTCTACTAGTCATAGGTCACTTTTTGCTTACTTATAATAGCCATTTTTAATACAGGATCACTTGATTATTCATTCTGCAATATGCCAAATATTTTTAAGAATACCTATTACATTCCAGAAACTTATTTTCAATTTTAATAAACCCTTTTAAATAGCCATTCCAGATTGTTCTATCTTATCTGCTATCAAAGTTATTAGTGTTCTAAAGATCCCATTGACTTGCAAGAGGGAAAATAACACTAAAGAGGATTTTCATTCATTTGGCTAAAAAAGCATAATAACCTACAGCTATATACTCACTGAGAACAAATTAGTGATTATTTTACTTGAATATTGTAGAGATGTAAATAAAATGAAATGATGTAGTACTAAAATCTGCTTTAAAAACTGGCATGTGCTTAATTAAAAGCTACAAGAACCCATTTTATACAATTAAACAGACTACACTGCTATTTCCCTAAGAGCTGTACAAACCTGATATAATTTTCTGAAGGATATTTATCTTCTAAAAGCCTGTAAGTTTAAAAATATAGTATATCTTTTAACTAAGTACATTCTCTTTAAGGAAATAAGCCTAGCAGCTTAAGTGTGGGCAATAAGTGGCAACAACACTGTATGCTTTTCAGTGTGATAAAACTTATGTTTTAAGAATCAATATATTATTAAAAAACCAGGACTAAAATTCAGGGTTTTAATAGATTTTTCAAAATGTCAGATTTAGTGTTATCTTTGTCTTTTTAATGTTCTCTCTCCCTATTCCAATTATATTTTTTTTTGAAAAGCAACAGAAAGCAATAAATAAATGAATGAATGAATGAATGAATGGTTGCTTCCCCAGAGCCTTAAAGGTGGACAACTTGAGGTAGAAAGACAGCAGCTGCTCCATAACTATAACCCAAGACTGCTTGAGAGAAGTCAGAAGGTACATATACTATACATAGTTGCACTGATTAGATGGTCTTTAGAACAGACTACAATGACTCAAATAAGTATTTAGAACAGACTACAATGACTTAAATAAGTATTTGCCTAGGACACTGAGACTCACAGAAATGAATTTAAACATGTGTAAATGTCATGCACACACCAATGTGATCATAAAAAATTTTAAACCTGAAATTTTACTTAGGAAAATAGTTGACCTCATCCCTTCTTAGTTGAGGGCATCCTTTCTTCACATACTCCAGCTTCTATAAAATTCCCTATCATCCTAGAATTTAAGACTAGAAACAGTTTGAGAATAACCCTATAAGACTTGATACCACCTCACAATTGCAGATTTCTGGATCTCTTCTCCAAAGAACACACACCTTTCTCAGACAACAACATCTCCTTACTTACCCCAAAGTCAAGTTCCTTACTCTCCTTTGCAGATGTGTCAACTTACCGTGCTGGCCTGTCATTCTTAGAACGGTGAGTTTCCTCACTCTCTTTTGACTTTGAATGTGCTAATTTAGATGTTTTGGGCTATGGATAGGAAAAGAAAAAAAAAAAAAAACCCACAGAAAACAGTAAACGAACAGAGAAAAAGATCAGGCTTAGAAAATATCTAAATCATGCCAAATTCTCTTTTAGTAATTTTAGGTTACTTACATTCAGTTAAAGAACATAAAATATTTTTAAATACAGCCATTCAGAGATAAAAATAAATAAATTATAGTCACAAAGGTATGTTGGAGGCTGTCAGCGCAGCCAGATGAGTGGACTAAACACACACATGCTCCCCTACAGGGGTGTGCCTGGCCACCCATCATTAACTTAATAGCCACACAGCAGTTGACAAGAACTGGTGGACTCCCAGAGTCTACGGAATCTAGTTTTATGCTCTCAAATTTATTTCTGAAAGCCTGACCTGGGGATGATGATTTTCAAGCCAGAAAACTAAGGGACATTTAATGCAACTTCTGCAGGAGAGAAATTGTACCAGCATCAGTTGAAGAATCTAGAAAGCACAGAAGTCCTGATACCTGATGGAAACAGGGCCTCTCCTATTACTTTCCTATTATAAACGCCCTCTCTAGAAAGCCTTTACTGTATGACTTGTCCCCTCCTCCTCTGTTGTTCTTCCATTACGCTTTAATTGGCTACCCTGACCTTGTATTTGTTACTTGTCTACAGTTTGTCTTCCTCTCTATATTACATATTATTATGAGGAAAATATATCTTTGCTTTTCCCTGTAAGTCTAGAGGATCCTTTGCACACAGTAACTAATGAATAAAGTATGATAAATCAAACTTGCAACCACCACATACAACAATTAAATTACTTTACAGCAGAATGAACTGTAGCCACTGACTATTTTCTCTACTATTTCTAATTAATGAGAGGAAGATAACAGTTCAAGCTCATGCTAGACGGTTCTTGCACTCTGACATGAGCAATGATTGCTGGTGATAAGGCATGTCAGTCTGCCATAGATCAAGTTATACCACAGGAAAGAGAAACAGCTGGTATAGGATTAGGAATGAAGTACAACATTAAGCAGACAGGGAAAGTAGAGAGAGGAAGAAAAGGTCACTGGAAATTTGAAAGCATGTGAAAATGCTACATTCTCCTGGAAGTATAGTAAAACTAAAATTACTCATGACCAAAGGCATTTGCATCTCAGTTGGTCTTAAAAAGTGAATGAAATGAATTTTTTAATCTTTGCAGCAACTTTTTAGTTACTTTCAAGAATTCAATATGATTTTTCATAGTGAAACAACTTTTACAAGTCAGATTCACATAATTCAATAAAGATCATTTGTATACCCTAAATATATTTGCAGATTTACCCTAAAAGCAGAGTTCTCTTTTCATTTCCAATTTTACTTCTAATTAAAAGGCAAACAAACAAACAAAAAACAGACCCTACCTTCCAATCATGGTCATGCTTTCTTTTGTCCAATGATGATTTCTCTCGCTCCTTGGCTTTCTTGTAAGCTTTCTTTTCTTCAGCCATTAGAAGTCTCGCAATTTCCTAAACGAAATCCAGTCAATATCTCTGTTTATAGAGTTGCGAGTAGAAAGTTACTGAGATTTTCCAAAGAATACTGGCTACACAAACTCATTAACGAACATGAACTCACCTCATCCTGGGCTACTTGAGCTGCTCTTACATCCACCTGTGTAGCCTAAGGTATAAAACACGCAAAAAAGAATAATTTAATTGACATCTATATTGCCCATTTTTAAAAATCTTATATAAAAATAAACTGGTATTTGAAACTAGTTGTGATTAACAGCCCTCAAGTTGGTAATCAGTCAGTATACTTTCACCAGCCAGAGTAGGGTCTATTTTTATCAAATTCCACAACAGATTTTTAATTATTAGAACTCAATAATGGAGAAAGAGGGATGTCAAATTCTATCGCTAATGCTTACTCAGTAAATAAACACTCTATTCCTGTTGTTTTGATTTTTCCACCAATAAAAAAGGTATGTTTCTCAACTGATGAAGGACTATAACATCTATTATATAATCTCAAAAATGATTCAATTCACAAAAAACCTACTCATTCACCTGAACTACTCCTTTAAAGTTTACTCACCAAAATTTCTTCTTCTTGCAATTTTCTGGCAATTTCAGCATCATACCATTCTTGATCCCTGTGGGACACACGTGATGGAGTTGAGACAGCTTCTTTCATCGCTCTTGGCTTTATTCCTAGAAAAAACTCAATATAATAAGGCACCCGACATTGTTTTCTGAAAAGTTATCTTCTTTTAGCATCCAACACTGACACTACTGCCGCTATTCCAAAATTCAGTGGAAGGTACACCTGAAATAATTTTATCCCTTAAGCATGGGAGTAGTGATGGAGATAATCCACACGCTTAAAGTTACCCACCCAAACCTGCCTGGTAAAAACATCCCTTTCACATAGCTTTTTCAAGAGCAGGAAATCAGGCAAGGAAATTAAAAGAATTTACAGAAAAAAGTAAGAGTTGGAGTTTTGAAGAGGCTAAGCTGTCAAGACTTCTGTTTGCCTCAGCCTTGCATACCTTACTTTAGAGAGTCAGAAACAGTATCACCTGGGAGTTAGTTATGTGACAGTAACTGTGAACCACCTTGTGGCCCCGACATGGCTTCTGCTCTGATGGTCAACAAACTCACTTAGTTTTTATATTTTCCTGCAGCTTTAATCAGTTTAATGTTGTTATTAAATTTTAAGGAAGATATAATGTAAAATATCAGAGAGCACAATGACTTTAGAGTTCTATTCCTCTCAGAAGGAACGTGGGAAACTGGTGGGGAATTCTGGCTTTTACTTTGAAATTTTATATGCAGCAAGTATTTCTTTTATAACTTTTAATTAACTGGTAAATGCCAATGGTCATTTCAAAATTGTGGATATTTCCCTCTTTGTATCCTTTATAAATTACAATTATTCGACAATGTAGATGCATTATATTCAGAAATAGTAACAACTTTTAATGCAGTGAACAAGATTAACCATCTGGATAGTGACTTCAGTAAACAGGATACTGAAGGGCAAAAGAAAACTTACTCCTAATTGCCTATTTCTTTATATCAGTGGTTCTCAACCTGGCTATATATTAGAAACACTTGTGGTACTTTAAATAAATATAAAAATCTTTGTCCCAAACTCCAGTGATTCTAATTTAAGTAGCTTAGATAAAATCTGGCCTTTAGTAGTCCATTTTTTTGTTGTTGTTGTTTTTTTTAATCTTAACAGTTGATTTATATTCACAATTAGCACTGGAACTACCAGTTTAGTATGTCTATCAAAATAATGGTACATTAAAATAGCTTTATCAAAATGCCTCACCACACTTGATTTGCTTGCTTTAAACAAAAAAGAACAAAAGATAAGACAAGAATATACAACTAAATTCTGGGCAAATGGAAAGAGTTTAAGTTTTCTGGTGAAGCCTTTCTTCGTAGAGTTTTAAACTGGCTTTGAGATAAATCCAAAAGCCACAGAATCATCTACCTTCCCCCCCATCCCCAAAACACACACACACACACACCCTTTCTCTCTCTCTCTCTCTCTCTCTCTCTCTCTCTCTCTCTCTCTCTCTCTCTCTCTCATTAAAAATGGTTTTCTTAGCTTCAGGCCAATTAGTGCATGATTATCCAAAATTCATTTCAACTTCACATCATTTCTAGAGCTACTGAATCTTATGCCATGCCAAGCAGGGCTAGTTTTCACCCAGACAGGGAAAATAAATGAAATTAGATAAGAGAGTTAGCATTGGGCAAAGTCAGTGGACAAACTGGTTGCTATATCATACTTCTACCCATAGAAAAATAACACTTCAAAGAGCAGCCCAAAGCCTAGTTGAGGACGATAGGAGAAATCACATTCATGTCTTGATCCTTTAATTTTGCCATCCAGTGAAAGAAACAATATAGTAGAATGTGCTGAGATTTCAAGACACTAAACTTTCTATACTATTATGCCTTCTATACCACAGAATTAACTGAGAAAATATTTTGTTTTAATTTCCATCAAGGACACTGGGAAGGCATTCAAATGCAATATATTTTTTAATTGATTCGACAGGTTGATAAGGTTGTGACCTCCTGGCAATTAAACAGAATGATACACAGAACAATGGAAAAGAATAGAGTGCCCAGGAAAAAATCTACAAATAGATATCAATTAATTTATGACAAAGGAGCCAAAAATATACTATGGGGAAAAAGGAGAGTCTCTTTAATAAATGATGCTGAAAAAAATTGGACAGCCACATGCAAAAGATGAAATTGGACCACTACTTTCATCCATACACAAAAATTAACTTAAAATGGATTAAAGTCTTAAACATAAGCTACGAAACCACAAAACTCCTAGAAAAAAACAAAGGCAGTCAGCTTCTCGACATTGGTTTTGTAGATGATTTTTTTGGGGTTGACACCAAAAGCAAAGGCAACAAATGAAAAAAATAAACAAGTGAGACAAATTAAACTAAAAAGATTCTGTACAGCAAAGGTAATCCATCAATAAAATGAAAAGGCAACCTACTAAATGGGAGAAAATATTTGCAAATCATATATATGATAAGGAATTAATGTCTAAAATATATATAAAGAACTCATAAAATTCAATAGCAAAAAAAAATCTAATTTAAAAATGGGCAGAGGATCTGAACATTTAAAAAAAAAAGACATACAGGTGGCCAACGGGTACATGGAAAAGTGTTCAACATCACTAATTATCACGGAAATACAAATCAAAACCACAATGAGATACTACCTCACATCTGTTAGAATGGCTATTATTAAAAAGACAAGACATAAATGTTGGTGAGGATGTGGAGAAAAAGGAACCCTTGTGCACTGCTGGTGGGAATGTAAATTGGTGCAGCATTATAGAAAACGGTTTGGATGTTCTTCAAAAAATTAAAAATAGAACTATATCATCCAGCAATTCTACTTCTAGGTATTTACCTGAAAGAAATGAAAACATTAACTCAAAAAGGTATATGCGCTCCCATGTACTGCAGCATAATTTACAATAGCTAAGACATGAACATACACGAAGTGCCCACTGATGGATGAATGGATAAAGGAAATGGGGTTTGCAGTCATGAGCCATTTAACAAGAATATGTTCTGAGAAATGTATTGTTAGGCAATTTCATCATTGTGAGAACATCATAGTGTGCACTTACACAAACCTAGATGGTATAGCCTGTTACACACCTAGGTTGTATGGTACAGCCTAATTGCTCCTAGGCTACAAGTCTGCACAGTATGTTACTATACAAAACAACATGAGATTAAATCAAGCACAAGAGAAAATTACGCAATCAAGAGACACAGTAAACATGAGATGTATGAGGTTACTGTTGGAGTAGCAAGCTAAACTGTTTTACAGCAAAGTTTTTTCTTTTAGTAAGTAGAAAGAGTATACTCTAGAATAACAATAAAAAGTATAGTATAGTAAATACATTAAACCAGTAACATAGATGTTCATTATCATTATCAAGTATTATGTACTAAACATAATTATATGTGTTATATAATTACACATATGACTTTTATATGACTGGCAGTACAGATTTGTTTACACCACCACCACCACAGACAAATAATTCATTGCACGATGACATTAAGATGGCTACGATGTCACTAGACAATAGGGATTTTTCAGCTCCATTATAATCTTATGGGACCAGTCCCATATGCAGTCTATCACTGACTGAAGTGTCATTATACAGTACATGACTGTATATATATAATGAAATATTCAGCCATAAAAAAGAATGAAATCTTGCCATTTGCAACAACATGGATAGGCCTTGGGGGCATTATACGAAGTGAAATAAATCAGACAGAGAGAGACAAATACCAAATGATCTCGCTTATGTGAAATTATTAAAAAAAAAAAAAAAAAAAAAAAAAGCTCATAGATACAGAACACATACTGGTGGTTGCCAGATGTATAGAGGGAGGTGGGGAGCAAAATAGGTGGTCAAAAGGTACAGACTTCTAGTTATAAAATAAGTGATGGGGATATAATATACATTGTTGACTATAATTAAGAATATTGTATTGCACATTTGGAAATTGCTAAGAGTAGATTTTAAAAGTTCTTACTACCAAAAAAATTGTACCTATGGCGACAGATGTTGACAAGACCCACTGAGGTGACCATTTCACATATATACAAATATTGAATCATTATGTTATATACCTGAAACTAGTATGATGTTATATGTTAACTTCACCTCAATAAACATAGCTAAAAAGAGAATGATACACAGATCAATATAACATAATAGAGAGCCCAGGAAAAAAACACCTATAAATAGATGATCATGACAAAAGAGCCAAAAAGATACAATGGAGAAAGGAAGAATTTGAAGTAATATCTCCATAAGTCCCAAATAGTTAGAGGGAAAACAGTTTATTTAGAGAGCTTCTGCTCTATCACTGGAACTCGCATGTCTCCTAAGTAGAATATCTCCATAGCCTAGAAAAGATTTCTGATCTGCCCACTCAATGTAGTGCCTGCCCCCTGTACCAGTGGTGAAGAGAGCTTTTGTACGTATGTAAGAAAGAACTTCAGATAGTGCAGTCTAAGGCGGTCATTACAGAAAAATAGAGATGTTTTTAAAATTCTAAAAACACAGTTAATTGAAGGAAATTAACAGAATGGCCATCCTCATTAGGGTAGCCTAAACAGTCTAGAAACTAGCATTCAAAAACATCAGGCGAGCCATATTCTCAACAGTTCCACATTCAATTCTTAATCTAATTCTTGCTTGCCTTTTTCTGTTCATGATTCTCCAGCATGAGAACATAAGACCCCTTCTTAATCAACAAAAATAAAACTTACCTTTAAATAAATTCTGATAGAATAAGATAAAACTGTTAAAAGTACAGGTATTCAACACGAACTTATCCCAAGCTTGGAATAAGGTAAAATGATGACTGGTAGATTCTTTGATATTACGCAAGAGTATTTTGTAATACGCCAGTCTGTCATAGCATGGGCCTGAGAGTTTGAAAGTTAACCTACAGAAGCTTAGTAAGCTGATATGATTTAACAGCTCAATACAGAAGTTATCTTCAAAGGTGGTATGGTTTTACTGCCCCTCAGAAAGTTAACCAATTTTATATTTAACTTAGCAATTTTATTTTGCCTTGCTTTTTCAACCGACTCTATATAATCCTGTCCTGCAAATGCTTACAACTAGCTATTTGTTGTCCTACTAATTTCTTCATTATTAAGCTAAATAAAACTTTGGCCTCTTAAAGAATTTTGTTTTTACGACATCAAGAACGGACACTGGTACCTAGTAAATATATTTTACTGTAATCCTCTGACCTATCCCAGGGGACTTGCAAAATCTAGCCTACACGAGGCTAGGAGGTAAAATTTATAAAGTAAGTTGAATATAAAATGAACAGACACTTGTAGCCATGTTGTAGCCATGTTAATACCTGCCTAACCACATTATTTTTAAACTCCTATGCTGTTAAAATACAAAAACAAAACATGTGCCTTCAACTCCAGTAGCAGGGTCCGTGAATCAGTGTTTAGTTTCATATTAGTTTCACCCTTCCTAAGCCTGTTTAAGAGTCTCTCAAGTATAACAGAAAGCCATTAAGGTTAACCAGCCCTCAAAGCACACTTACAAGGTCAGAGTCATAGAATCAGAAATGTAGAGGTTCGTGTAAATCACCGTTCTTACCCCAAACCTTTAGGAATCCAACATGTCCTTCTAATTCTGGATACAGTAAAATTTACACATAAAGCTTACTCCAGATTGATTATATCACTTCCTCCTCTATGCCTCCACAGCCCATTGTTCAAAGTATATCTAATCTGCAATTGTTTACATATCCATCTTTGTGGCTCCAGTTATTAACCCTCTGAGGTTCAGATCTAAACATAAATCCCCAAGTACAAAGCCTGAGGCAAGAATGTCTGTGGCAGATACTTAGTATGGTTTGCTGAACTAAATGTTGGTTTTCTTTATGACCAAGTCGTTTAATAACTTAAAAAATTAACATAATAGGACAAAGGAACTAAATCAACCCGAATTCGCAATCTAGAAATCAGCTTCTAGACCAGAAACAGGGGTTGGCTGGACAATAATAAAGAAGAAAATAAGAACAGATGCCTCCTTGGTACTCCTTTGCCAATAACCTTTGCATCTCTGTAGAACTTCAATAAGAGTAAAATAGAACCAGGGAGATAAGTATGATCTATTAAAATACCAGACAGATTAGTGCTATGACTTACAGTGGTATAGCCACAAGCTTCCAAACAAGAATAGAAAAAACTATTACTGTGTGGATGATGGATTTCAGAGTTAAGCTTCAGAGATGCCAGAAATTTTAGGCTTAGGTCTAACATTCGCCTCATTCCTATACAAGTACAGGCACACCTCAGAGATACTGCAGATTTGGTTCCAGACCACTACAGTAAAGATTTGCAATAAAGTGAGTCATAATCTTTTTGCTAGTGGAGAGTCTTGCTTTCAATTTGCATAAAATACAACACCTGTGAAACACAATAAAATGAAGTATGCCTGCACCAAGAGCTTACCTGATATTGGCACTTCAAAACAACAACTGTAGTAGAGTCAGAGTTGAAGAACATCAGGCATAGAGAGTACTTAAGGCAAGGATTTTCAAACTTTAAATACGTAAGAATCTCCTACAAGTCTAAAACAAGCTCAAACTGCCAGGCCACATTCCAGAGAAGATAATACAAGTGAGACCCAGAAATCTGCATTTTTAGGAGATAGTTCAGCTGATTCTGATGAAAATGGACTAAGGTCCACAATTTGAAAAACACTGTCTTAAGAGACTGCCTAATCAATCTCTTATTTTACAAATGAGAAAGATAAAGTCAAGAAAATCTAGTACTTCCAGACCTGCTGGTCTCTAGTTAGGCAAATACTATGAAAGCAGTGTCAACTGAACTAAAAACCAGAAACTCAGGAGCTTTGATTTGGTATCTGAATCTCTTAAAGTACAGTCTTGGCAGATGAAGAACTATGGGAGGGGCACTTCCACTGCAATCTGGGGCTGGAAGAGCCTTGTAAGGAATAAGGATTATTCTCTTAGAAGACAAGGGGGAAAGGTACAAATATTTTCTTTCTTCCTACTCACTTGAGATTAATACCTTTTGTGATATTTGGCTCCAGGATTTATTTCAAAGCCATAAGCACAAACTACAGAGAAAGAACAGATGGCTTGAGATGGTTATTAAATACATTCGTTTAAATACACGGGATACCGGGCTTTCCAATGAGACTGTCCTTTATTACCTGTGTCATGGAGTTGGAGCGGCTCCTCACTCTCTGAGAAGGGAGGAGTCCTGGGTCTGTGTTTCCTTTCTCTGCGCTCACCTTGCCCATGCTCCCTCCCATATACAGTTTCCTTGCAGTGAATCCCTGCTTTCTGAGAAGCCTTGGGTGAAAGTCGTTCTTGGTGTCTGAACTGTTTTTCCCAATTCTGAGTTTGATGGCTACTGTTAGCCTCCCAGTCATCAAATTCCGTACTCAGACACACCTCACCACTGATCTTAGGAAGAGGAGGTCTCCGGAGCCTCTTATGACCAGACTGTTTCCTTCCACGCAGCTCAGTGCTAATTTGGGGATTATCTCTCACTTTGCCCAAGCTAGCAGAGAGAGATTTTTCTGATGAGCGATGCTCTTCCAGTTCTTCCAAGTTCTCCAGTGGATGTTTGGGTTTCTCCTTTCTCTGCGTCACAGTCTTTTCATCACTTTGGAGTTTATAAGACCTTGAGAATCCAGAACCCAAATCCCTTGCCCTCCTTGACCGTGGCTGGTCTGAGTGGAGGTGGAGGAACGTGAAAAACAGAAATGCAGGTTAATTTAATGAGAGCATTAACTCACCACAAGGGTGAGACAGGGCCCAAGTGTAACATATTTTAAAATGGAGACTACTTTTTCAAATTAACAAACTGAAAAGAGGGGATGGGCATTTATTGGAAGAATTCTCAGTACATAAACAAAAAGGTAATAAAATAAAATAACTAAAATCTGAAAGAGCTTGATTGTGATTAGGAAGAGTTAAAAGTATTTTAATATTTGCCAATAACAAAAATTACAGCCATTAAATGATAAATTATACTTATAAAACCAAATTGGAACTACTTTACGGGGGAAAACAGAAGTTGAAGGAGTCTCATAAAACAGAAAAAACTAAGCTTTGTGATTCCAGTCAGAGACTTTCAAATATTCTTCTTGGAAATAACAATAAATCAACATCAGAATGTTGAGTTTCCACATAGTTCAGAAAAATGATCCACAGATTTTAGTATTCCTCCATTCTTTCCCCTTAGGTGGCCAAAGCAAACATTCCTAGTCATATTGCGATTCAATGTGGAAGAGGATGTAGTAGAGGAGAATTTTAAGTGAGTAAATGACCCTGTTATCTTGGATAATTCTGCTCCCAATTTGACTTAAAACTTGACAGAGGAAAAAATTAAAAAGGGATGCCATAATGATATACATAAAAAAAAGTCATTTCTTAAATTCATTTCAAAAACTTTATGATATTGTATTCTCTGTATAAAAATACAGAATGTGCTAAATATACAAGTCTTAAGTTTAACACAATGTTCAAAAGCAGCACATTGGTATTTTTGTCAGGTCTCATTTAGGCAGAAGCCTACAGTGAAAACAAAAGTAAATTAATATGCACTTTGCAAGAGCGTACATATTTTAACATTCCTAAGACTTTTAATAAATTTTAGAAATAAAAGGAAATCTTAATTCCGTGGAAAATTGCTAAGATAGATAAAATACATTCCCTGCTAGAATCAGCCACTTGCTGAATTGCATTTGAAACAGCTACTCTAAGTTGACAGGATATAAAGGAAATAACTACACATTATCTTAGTTTTTGGTTTTATTGTTTTTTGTTTTTTAAAGTTTGTTATTGTTAATCAAAGAAATAAAGGAAGAGGAGATATGTTTTAAATGCATCATTGATGCCATAAGCTTCTCAAAAACTTCAAATTGTTTCTTCTTGAGCTTTCCTGAATAAAAGGAAATATGCTTCAAAGATAAACTATAAGTTAAGATCTGTCTTCTAAAAAAGTCTGTAAAAGTATTTATCTTTATAATTTATGGTTAAATTTATTATTTACATAATAGCGAAAGTGAAATAGAGCAAATACTCTCTGTGTAACCAAACTATTATTTTAAGTATATCTTGACAATTGAGAATCAATTGACTACTGCTGTGAATTAATGCAATACTGACCAATTACTTAAATGATGACCTAATCCGGGGAGCAGTGATTTTACAATTTTACCATACGGCGTTAATACCAATGTTCCCACAGAGAGCTGCATGAGTGGAGTCCGCCTTTCAGCCCAGGACAAAAAAGAAGGGTTTTGTTTTCAACATGGATTTATGAAACTATGATTGTTTTATCGTTATTGTCGTTTTTAAATTCTTTCTAAAAAGTTAACTGACATTAGTAGTTTTATTTTAGGGAATTGTGTTGCAAGAATTAAAATAGAACTGTCACTACATTTTCACAGAGTTGATGGGAAAAACCACTGTCTAGTTCACTTGCTGTGATATCTTTAAATCTGGGAAAGAATAAAAAAGAGGTGTGGGAGAATCTGTCTGAATCATTTAAAATGTCATCTAGTTAAGGACTGAGACTTGTACGTTAATTGAGATGAAGTTATTTGGCAAATATAATTAATTTCCTTATAGCCTTCCTTATACACACACACATACACACACACACACAGACACACACGATTTTATTTTTGTGCCTCCATGTTTGTCTTTCAAAATAATTTTTGTTTAAATATAAAAAATACTTTTATACACACAAAACATTAACATATGTATAAACAATAGTACTTTAGAGTTCATAAGTCTTCACCAAAATTACATTATTTAATCTTCTCAACATCTATGGGAAGGAGGTATTTTTAAAATCTCCATTTTATAAATGAGAAAAAGGGTCAGAATTATTATAGTAGGTAACTTCTTTAACATCACAATTGTTATAAGAGATGGAACTTGCCCAAGATCTTATGACTCCAAAGACCATGACTTAAAAAAAAAAAAAAAAAAAATCATTAATATGCCTGCAATTCAGATAAGTGGCTTTGAAAGAAAAACATGGAATCACGAATGAGTAAGGTATATTATTTCAGTTGATAAAAATCTGACAGATGTTTTGGATAAAAATCTGACAGATGTTTTGGATAATTTCAAATTTGTAGAAAATCTAGAAAAGATCATTTTTAAAAGACTGATTTATTAAATTTAAGTAAAATAAAAGCTAAAAAGACCAATTCTATAATGATATACTGATTACGACGTAAGTAAGGCAAAAATCATAGAGAAGTACAAGGAAAGAATATCTCTTATGTGTTGGGAAAAGACCACTACAAAGAACATATAGATTGCTTTGTAAATATGAACTGAATTGTAAAGTGGTTTCTGTGGAATTCAACTTGGGCCTAACTCAAAGTCATTACAAATGATCACATGCTCAGCAATACAAACTCTTTCAACAATATAACTGAAGTCAAATTCTAATATTTACATGCATATGCTCAGGAGGTCACTACTTTCTATTCTCACCCCGCCCCCAAGTCCAAAAAAAGTGGCATATACGCCATTCTCTGAAAGTTTACGAAAGCAGTTAAAATACGTAAAGGGCAGCTTTTGTTAAACTTTTAGGTGTCCTTAAAATCCACTGAATTCTTAGCATATCTGCCCTAGAGATAATATGACTCTGGATGATAGCACTCTGGTCAAAACAACCATGTTTGAGTTCCAACTCAAGTTAATGTAAGATTTTAACAGAGTAAGGCTAAAATTAGTAGTTTAGTTTACTTCATTACTTGCCATACTAAAGTTTTTGTAGACCTAATTTTAAAATAGTTACTTTTATTTGCAGGGTACATGACTCCAGATCAGAATTAAAAATAAAAACAAATGAAAACACCAGACCACATTTCTAAGATTTTACCTCTGGCCTCTAGTATAACAAAATATGACCATAATTTTTCTTCTTACTTATGTAATTCATGATTGTATTAGAAAAACCAGTGTAAGGAAAATGGGTAACAAAAAAGAGCTAGGCCTTTTACATATGGAAGAAGAACACAGCAAGCAATAAACACAGACTCAACTTGCTTACTAATTATGCCACAGAGCTGAGGTCTACAGATAATGAAATTTAGAATAACAATGTGACTGGGCAAGAATGTCCCTAAACTGTAATAATTCTATTATCTACATATAAATTCCTTTCATTCTACTCATCCAAGACAAATACCTACTTATTTACCTTTTATAATGAAATAAAGAAGCAACTGATAATTAGTTTGTAAGGTCCTTTGAAATCATTGACCTTAAAATCTTTACTCTCTAGACATGGCCTTTAGGTTTTATTTACTTGTTATCCTAAATAAAGTCTCCAAGCTGAACTGTATTATAAATAGTCATACTAGAAACTATAGGAAATAACTTTCTTTTGATAGATGTTTAAAAAGGACTGAACAATACTTGCAAATACTCGTTTCCCAACACACTTTTAGGATAAAGAACCACCACCACAATAATCGCCAACAACACACTGCAAAAACAGACACTAGAAAAGAGAAACTTTGAAAGGAATGCTTTCTCTCAGAAATGTTTATATGTAGTAATCAAATAGTAAAGAATTACAAGCAAAAAAAAAAAAAAAAAGAACAGAGAATCTTAAATTTTAATTTTGTCATCAGCAAGCTACACCATTGACCTATGTTTAAAAGACAAGCAGCATGGAATAAAAGCTTTGTTACCCAGCAAAAAAGCTTTGTTATGGTGTACCTTCTTTATTATTTGTGCTACTCTGCTGCTTCAAACAGTACTGCTCAGATTTCCCAGAGAAAGATCAAGCCCAGAGATGCATCTGCCATTTTCCATTCCCCATTGTGTGTGCTTAGAATGTAATAACAGCATTCCAAGTGGAAATACCACAAAAGAATGCATGCCAAATCTTACAAAACAATATTCAAGTTTTAAAAGCCATAAAAATGGCTCTAGTCATCCAACTAAGGAACAGATGAATTCATTAGATTCAAATAGAATTCCACTACAAATCCAAATGGGGCCTAAGGTCAGTTTATGGACAAATTTAAAGAAGTGTCTCGTGGGTGAATCTAAGGATAGAGTAGGTCATGATGTAGGCACTGTTACCTCCATCTTCATAATAGCAACTCTCTCCATAAGCATTGGCTCTAGAGGAATCTGGAAAGTGTTTCTTTCGCTTTTTCTCTTCCTGTAACTCCTTTTCTTGCAAAATGCGAGCTATGTCCTGCAAATACAGAGAGAATGAAAATAAATATTACCAGAGCATGAACAAACTGCACACAGTGACCCTATAGGTCAACAATTCCACATTCCACTGCTAAGCTTCTGTGGGCAGGCTTTGTCTACTGCTCTACAGACTTTCTGGCATTAAGCTCATGCAATTCAAATGCCACAAATGATTGCTCAACAGGACAGCACATGATCCACATGAGAGAGAAAAGCTTTTTTTTTTCCTTTGGAATTTAAACCTAACTCAATCTGAAGACATTCAAACCTAGTATTCCTAAAGTTAGTTACATAAATTTTTTAAAATTCATATTTGTGGATCCTTTTTCCAAGATGATGATTCAGTAAGTCTAGGTGGGAAAGAGGGTAGTAATCTATAGAACTTCATAAATTGTATTTACAATTTAATTCTAAAACTTAAAAAAAAAATGTTCAGCTGATCCTGAGCTTTTGCATCAGAGTACCATTGTCTTAACTGAAAAAGAGAAAATAGTCCTCATTCTGTCTACCATCTGCTTCATCTCCAGGGAAGTTTTTAATAGTTATTAAGTGATAACATTCTGACACTGTCCCCCAACAGGTCACCGGCTGTCTATAAAAACAAAAGTGTATACAAATAACAATAATAGGATTAAATTATACATGCTTCAAAAGGGGGGTAAAAGTATCTATGGGCATATAAAAAAAGGGAGTATTATTTCTGCTTACAGATTTAGTATAGGATTTGCATCTGTGTTAGCTTTTGAACAAAGTACTGGATTCCAATAGGCAAAGTAAGGAGAGAGAACATTATCTGCATGGAAATCAATCCAGGGAATAACCAACAGTCCAATTAGAGTGCTGGAAGAAGTAGAGTGTTGAAGAGAAAGGTGAGTCTAGGAAAACAGTCAGGCTGAATTGCAGGCCTTCTTTATAGACAATCTTAAGAAGTCTGGAGTCTATAATGTAAGGGATGAAGGGTTACTAAACATTTTGAGCTGAAGAGTGACAGTGTTCTAAATCTGAAGATTATTTCTATGAAAGCCCGATAAAATGCACATAAACTGTTCATGTACACTTTTTTGGAGAGAAAGCCCATAGCTGTCACCAGATTCTTAAAGGTTCATACAAATACAGCAACAATACTCAATGGTGTGAACAGTAATAACAATCATAGGTAGTTTGAGGTGCTTACTTATTTATATTTATAATAAGGAATACAAGAAGTATGTAAATTTTAATGATGTAAATTTTGAAGCAAAAATTAATTACTATTCTTCCTTTTGCAATCCTCTGATAAATTCAAAATGAAGACTATACTAAAACTGCAAGGCAAATCTAAAAAAAAAAAAAAATTCATCTAAAGAAATCAATTTCTTTCCTGTCAGTGTAGAAATAATTTGGATGCTTGAGGCTAGGTAAATTAGCAATGATTATTCATATTCTATACTTTTAATGTTCATTGAAATTGCCTTACAAATCTGACTTTCTATTAAATAAATGCCTAAATTCAAACTTATAAATACACTATTAACGTATTGTCTTTAATTGACTGCTATGCTGGAAGCTTCTCATAAAACTGTGTAAAAAGTGTGTGTGTACTTTCATAAGTAATCTATTTAAATGCCCATGCTATAGCGTCAGAGACACTTGAGTGGGCGGGCACTCACAGGATGTTGAACTCAGATGGAAAAGAATAGGATGTTGAATGAGAGGTAAAGAACACAATCGTACTTAACGCAAGTGTAATTTTCATGCAAGGAAATCTGAATTTCTAATACTTTGATAGAAAAAAAATTCCCTAAGTCTAAAAGTTAAAATGACTTTCTTTTCCCTTCCAGTTCAAGCCAGATGTTTTAGAGACACTGGGAAAGAAACATTAACTACTAAAATAAATTTCTTTGGGTTTCAATTGCTTATATATACAATGAAGAGTTTGAACTGCTCAATCTTAAAGTCAATGTCTTGACTCTCATGCATCATTTTAATAACTCTGTGAATGTTACCACGTGCCAGGCTCATTACATTTGATTTCCTACAAAGCAATATGTCAGTAAGTTAGGAAGATAGAGAAGGGTGGGACAGATAACTTGTTCTCCCAAAACTAGTATCTGTTTATAGTAGAAATTCCCAAATTCTTATACTTTTTACTGCAGAAGTCAGAAGAAAATACAAATGCTTTCCTGAGTTGCCACGTTTGAAGCACCCAACACCATGTTTACCTAAGTGGTGTGCTTTACAGAAAACAAAAATTTCCATTGTTATTACTGAGTAAAAAATATAAAGAAATATTACCAGATCCAATTGCCAGCAGAAATTATTAAACTATACACTCCAGGGACATAAGTGCTTTTCTGCTATTGAATTTAGTCCCAATAAATACACAGAAATAAGGGGCTTTCTCAGTGTGAAGACCCAGGAGAGAAACAAGGATGATGCCCCTTTCTTCACAACGCATTAGCTAGTCAAAGGAAGTGATGTTAATCAAGTAGAAACATAACAATCATAACGTATACTGCACCTTAGCACCCAAACCTTTTGCTCTTTCACCCTCTCAGCCCTTTTTTCAGTAAGATTCTACCAGGTGAGAACAAAGGTCAGCTAAGCTTGAGGGAAAGCATAAAGGATTCAATGGAAAACTGCTCATATATTATAATTGTGGTTTAGTCGCAGTCAGTTCTCCTGTTTTTCAAGATTATTACTGTGCAATGAGTTCAGTTAGGTGATTTCAATAAAAAGAATTTCCACGTAAAACAAGCTAAAATAAAGATGGCAACTATTAGTCACAATGCTAAGATGCAGCTTAGTCACTCTTGACATAAACAACCTCCTTGGTCCTCAGCTTCCTTCCTGTTAAGTTAGTCTAGAATAAGATTTCTCAAGCTCCATTCCTGAGAACACTGGTGTCAGAGGTGCTCCAAAAAAACCAAAAGCATTCCATGGAAAGCATGTATTACATCTAACTCTTTAAAATGCATATTAGCATATTTTACAACTGATTTAAAAAAAACTTGTTATTTTCCTATAACTTGGAGAATTTCCAAATTTACTTTGTGACAGAAGCTTTTACATAAAAAATATAAACTTTATGAAATTAGTGTTCCATAAAACATAACTTGCAAAAACAAATCTATAAGAACTCATAAACCGTTTTGAAGTCATTTTCGATGACTTTAAAATTAATGAGATTCTTTAGGTAGATTTATTTTGAGTAGAATTACTTATACACAGAATAACTCTGTTACATAGAAGACTTTCTAGTACATTTACAGGCATAAGAAATTACTATATCTCGTCTCTTCCTTTTCTGTTATCCATACTCATCCACCCCTGGAAAATTTGAAGCTGTGAGCCTAAGAAAGGGCAGTTAAACATAGAATGCTAGAGGAAAGTCATCCTAATGAAAACGTGGATTTACTGATGATGCCTTTTAATGGGCCAAACATTCTATCAGAGACCTGTAGAGAAACAAGGTATGTTCAACATTCGTAAAGTCTGTATCTATTAAGTGTTAGAAGCAAATAATTACATAATGTGTGACGTGCAAAGATCAATGCCCTAAGAGAGTCTTTAATATGTACAAGGTGCACTGAAGCCCAGAGGAGCCTGGCACATCTTTCTCAAGTAGATGACAAGTTACTGAACCATGGTATTGAGGTACTAAGGCTATTTTTATGGTTTATATGACTTTATATCAGGATTACTTCTCCCTGGGCAAATCTTGGGTATAAAAACAATCTAAAGGAGATCAAAAATTGTGACTGTCAAATTACTGTCAGAAAGAAAAAAAATAAAGAATGCCATTCCATTAGATTGCACTAAATCCTTTATTAACTAGCAACTAGTATATTAACATCTAAGTCATTAGGGAACTCAAAGCAGATATAATCCCAAAAAGGTTACTCTATAAGACCAGAAAAATAACATAATACAAATTCTATGGATATAAAAACATCAGTATAAATAAGATAATGGTGAAGGATTTTCTAAACTAGAAGCCTCCTGTTCACTTCCCCTTTCTGGCCATATGTGTATAAACTTATTTTTAAAGTGCCAAATCATAGGGACAAATTTTAGTATCTAAAATGTATTGCTATTTGAGTTATTCTCTAAATATTGCCAATTTATATAAAAATTTTTCTAGAACATGAACTTCTAATCACTTTAAGAATGCTACAAAAAAGTATTATGGTTCACACTGGATTAATTTTTAATGTAAATTGGTTACTAAATTTATTCCTGATAGTTTATAAGTGGCTTCAAATTGTTGGACTAGTGCCACAGACTTTTCATAACATGGTTGGCCATGCTGTTTATTTAAGCAAAAAAAAAAAAAAAAATCTTTTTCCCTAAAATAGTTTCACATTCACATATATCTGGACCTAGGTTCAAAGACACAGATATGTATATCCACAGACCCACAGACTCACAGACACACAGACACACAAAAACTTACTTATTTAGCATTTTAAGAATAAACTAAATCAACACATTCCTTGGCTTTATTAAACGACACTGGCAAATGTACATGCTGTGATCAAGAGAACAAACCCAGTGAAATTAGTCCACTTTTACTAATCACAAATGCATAGTCCAGTATTCCCAGAGGCCACAAGCCCTTTCAACAGGGAGCCTAGAAAGGAATGGAACTACTACATTCAAGACACTATTTTAACAGTTAAAAAAAAAAAGGAAGAGAGAAAGAAAGTAGGGAGAAAAGGAGGGAGGAAGGGAAGAAGAAGGAGAGGAAGGAATGGAG